TAAGGAGGCCACATCATAATACTAAAAAGATAGATACAAGAAGAAGATACAAGTCTGGTAAACATATATGCACCCAATACAGGAGCATCCAAATACATAAAAAACCTTCTGGAAGATATCAAGGGTAAGATCAACAGCAATACAATCATAGTAGGGGACTTTAATACCCCATTGACATCACTGGATAAATCTTCTAGACAAAAAAATCAACAAAGAAACAGCAATCCTAAACAACTCACTAGATCAGATGGAACTAACTGACATCTTCAGAACATTTCACTCCAAAACTACAGAATATACATTCTTCTCAAGTGCACAGAGGACAGTTTCAAAGATATACTACATTTTGGAACATAGGCAGAGTTTCTTCAAATTCAAGAAGACTGAAATCATATCAAGCATCTTCTCAGAACACAATGGCATAAAATTAGAAATCAACTACAGTAAAAATAATTTTTTTAAAAATGAAACACTCGGAGGCTAAAAAGCATGCTATTAAACAATGATGGGGTTACCAAAGAGATCAAATAAGAAATAAAAAGCATCCTGGAAACAAATGACAATGAAAACACAACAATCCAAAATCTATGAGATACAGTGAAAGCAGTCTTGAGAGAGAAGTTCATAGCGCTACAGGCCTATTTCAAAAAACAGGGAAAAATGGTAATAAATTACCTTACTCTACAACTTAAATAATTAGAAAGAGAGCCGAACGAACAGCCCAGAGTGAGCAGAAGGAAGGAAATAATAAAGATCAAACCAGAAATAAATGACATAGAGACCAAAAAAACAATACAAAAGAATCAATGAAACCAAGAGCTTGTTCTTTGAAAGGATAAACAAGATTGATGAACATCTAGCCAGGCTCACCAAGAAGCAAAGAGAGAGGATCCAAATAAACAAAATCAGAAATGAAGGAGGTGAAGTAACAACCGACCCTACAGAAATACAAAGGATTGTAAAAAAAAGATACTATGAACAACTCTATTCCAACAAACTGGACAACCTAGATGAAATGGACATATTCCTAGAAAAATACAATCTTCCAAAACTCTACCAATGAAATTGAAGCACTAATCAAAACACTTCCAGCAAACAAAAGCCCTGGTCCAGACAGCTTCAAAGGGGAATTTTACCAAACATTCAAAGAAGAACTAACACCAATCCTCCTCAGGTTATTCCAAAAATTTCAAAAAGAAGGAATATTTTCAAGCTCGTTCTATGAAGCCAGAATTATTCTAATCCCAAAACAAGATAAAGACACTACAAAGAAAGAGAATTACAGACTAATGTCCCTGATGAACATAGATGCTAAAACCTTCAACAAAATTCTAGCAAATCGGATCCAGCATTACATTAGAAAGATCATACACCACGACCAAGTGGGATTTATTCCAGGGATGAAAGGCTGGTACAATATCTGCAAATCA